TTTTTTTTTTTTTTAAATACTGCGGTTTTTTAATGTTTTGAAAGCGGGTAGTTGAATAGATACCCGGTTTAATCTTTTAAAATATCCTCCTGAGAACCAGAAAAAAAAGTTTTGTGAATTTTGTTGTTGTTTTTTTAGGTCATTGCACGTAAGAAACAAATTTTTGAAAAAATATATTAATTTTATTCAATGTCCTTTTTAGGGGACGCCAGGACTGAGTTATTCAATAGACATGAAAAGGCATGTATAGGAAAAAACAATGTTTTATTTTTTCCCTTCACCAATCAGTTTTTAGTTTTCAGGCTATTTTTAGCCAAACTTTGTACAAAGATGATTCTCAACTGTTATGAAATATATAACAGTATGATTTGATATACTACTGTACTTTATGGAATATTTGCGTAAAATGTCCATAAACTGGTATTCCCATTCTATACAGTGCATCTAATTTGCATATTAATGTGTTCTTGGGGCAAACCATAATGAAAAATTAGTGTAATAATGGGATTAATAACTTGGCAACATTTTCATAAGAATATCTCATATTTCATAGGAATATTTATTATGTTTCTCCATAATTAACCATTTGTCCTGGTGTCCTCTACAGAAGACGTGTATGAAAATGATGCCCAGTTTCGTAACAAAAAGCCACATACCATTTTTTCTGAGCTGTTTATCTACGACAAACAATTTGAAAATTTGCCCGATTTAAATGATAATTACAAAACATCATCATATTTCCCTAAGAGTGCTAAATTTGATCATTCTTTCATTCGTTCCGTTTCTAACATCGCGAGCGAAATGTGAATTTCGTAAATTTGTGCAAATTAAAATCGGTTGTTAAAATGGTTTTTTATTACAATAGAATAGTGGAATTGATCAGTAGAATGTGAGTTTAATAGATTGCGATTTGTTGTGTGGTTTTGAGGGTTGGATGCATTCAAGAAGGTCAAGGCCTCAAGACAGACAAATTCACGCGATACCAAAATGTACTGTATTTGCAGAATGTGACATTCTTGGGTGAGCTTTTGTATGTGTTTATGTAAGGACATAATGTGAATGTAGCTGCAGTGAAGGGCGTCATTCATGCAGACAACGCAGCAGTACTGGAAATATGAGTTATTCTCACTTCTATATAAAGAAAGTATTTATAAATGATAATATTTACACTTATAGCATTAGGACCACCTGACATTTGGTCACTTAGGCCTTGTCTTGCAGTTAATGATTTTGTGTGCAGTGAGTATTTTCTTTTGCTGTTTGGGCATTTGATAGAATAATATATTGCATGTGAAATTAATTTTTATTAGCCAGTAGCCAGCATGGGTTGTGACAGATCTGTGTAGATTCAAAATATGAATGTGTTTTTGATAATGTGTATTTTTTCAAGGGCACCTTTTACTCTTGGATTTCATACAAATAAGACTATATTGTATTTGTTTGCAGGGTTTGAAAGTATTCTGGAGGGAATATATGGACCAAGGCTGCTGCAAGATCTCAATATATTTGATGGTGAGTTTTATGTTGTCGTCTGCGCTGTCTTAGAAAATGTGTTCTTTCTCTCATGATATCAATGCTCCGCTTACCTGATGGTTATTCATATGATTCTCCCTCAGAGTGTGAACCAGAGGCTGTGGATGATTGGTCCGTGAATGCAAACTGCTCCTTTTGCAATCTGCAGCTAGAGAAACTGAACGTAAGCCAACCCTCAAAAGCCACAGAATAGATGTGCTTATTATGGGGTGTTAGCTGGCAAGAAAAGGCTTGGTTTGACATTTGTACTGGGCTCTGATCAATGACAGAAATTAATGTTCACCTTTATTTATATAGTGTTTTATACAATACAGATTGTTTCAAAGCAGTGATAAACAAAAATAATGATTCAATAATGCAAACAGAATTAAATTCTGCTGTAAAGTAAATTATTCACGTGACTCACATTATGGGTGATATTTGCCTCCTTAAATTGATTTACAGGGGATTTTTTTAAACCTTTATAAAGGCGTTTTTTCTAACCTTATTAAATGTGTAATTTTTATGTCAAATGTGTGTTTAGTTTGAGTATAGAAATATTAAAAGATAAAAATAATTAGAATTATAGTTTAAAAAAGAAACTGAAACCACCAGTAGGGAGTGACAAGTCAATGTCTTTGTCACTAAATCATGTTTAGTAAGATTTTACCTGAAAATAATTTTATCATTAAAAAAAATATATATATAATTTGAACCTCTGTATTTTTGTGTTTGCTTGGTTTTTATTTTGTGTTTATGTAACTCTTGTATTATTATTGAACATGGGTTAACATCAGGTTACTTACATTTTTCGCAGTTGCACACAGTAATTTTCAGTGTGTTTTTCAAATGCGACTGAATGGTTGCACTGTAGAGCTCTGTTTGTATATAACAAATAGTTCTCTGTGTTTAGCAGCTGTTGTTCTGGGTGTTTGTTAATACAGTTTTAGTCTTTATAATATATGGTTAAACACATTGTAAGCACATGTAGCGTAATTAATTATAATTAAGCACAACTCAAGGCTGTGAGACTATAATCAGTGCTTGTTTGGGCTGTATGTGATGAGTGTCACTGACTGTTACCTTTTGTGACACAGGACCATCCTGCTGTGGCCGTGCCTGGTTCGCCACCCCCTGCTGAAACCCCCCCACCTCAGGGCCTGTCCACCTCTGATAAACTCCAGTGCCAAGCAGACCGATTCCTCCATGCTATATTTCGTAAGAAGGGTGAGAAGTACAGTTTTATTCCCATTATCCATAGGGAGTGAAGTTATTGTTACAGCTATTACATGCATTACCATCGCTACCATGCATTACAACTTCTAACCATTGCATTTGAGTTTTCTTCAATTTAATGTCATAAAGTCTGCAATGCATGGAATGGTAAAACAAACGTCTTAATGATCATTTTAAGACGTCTTATATTTTGGGGATGGAAAAACACAAATCGCAATACAGCCTATTGATTATTAAACGTCAAAAGGCTATGATTTCATTAAAAAAAAGAGCGCTGCACGTTGCAGTGTCACAAGGCGGTGCTTCAGACTGCTTCAAAGTGATTCTCAATCAGTGAATAGCGCACATTTATGCCAAGAGATTGCTTATGAACTCGAGTTGATGAATATGACAATGTCTACTTTATGACCTTTTATATAATATGTTTTACATGGTTCTAAGAATGCATATTTTATCACTCATCTGAAGGATCAGCCTGCAATAGTTTAGACATTTCAAAATAAGAGTCCCGGTGTATTTGGGGCTTTATAATTAAGTGCTGCCAACTGAAAGATGTGTGCATATTTTTACATGAACAGACACAAATAGGACACATTTGGTCACAATCTCTACTATTCTTTTGAAAAATAGATTGCGGATGTCATCAGGATCGGTCAAAATAGTCCGATCGCTCACCTCTACTCTACGGTATTGTGTTGTAAACTGTCACTGGATAGAAAGTTGGCAAAATCAGGCGTGACCTTATGAACCCTAGTAAGAAAGTTGGACAGTTTACAGTTTTAAATATTAGTATTTTTATCAAACAGAAATCTAGAGAGCAAGCTTTCAAAATTGTTGTACAGTTGTTGTCTTGTACACGATGCATGCATGAAGTTCAGTTTTATCAGCTCTAAATTCTTGAAAAGTCAAATGTAGTAAAAGTAGAAAATGTGTTTTTACATAAGGAACCTAAGTGCATGAAACGAGATCTTCAACTAGATCTGTATTTTTCAATTTCCCAGAATTCCCTCAGAGCTGCGATTCCAATATACCGTTGGTGGCGCAGGAGTTGATGCGCAAGATGATTCGGAGGTTTGCCTTTGAATATGCGTGTAAAAGCCAGGCTCACGAGGGCCTGAATGGTCTGAGCGACAGCTCTGAGCTTCTCCCTCATCAACCAGATCCTGACGGGCCTCTGGACCTCACCATCAGCCGAGCTTCTCAGGCCCTGAAAGGTAAGCACCACAACAAAAATCGTTTTTTGTTTTTTTTTTTCACTTCAAGAGACCAGCACACAGTCAGATGCAGGAGTTTGTAGCTCTGTATTATTTGATCAGTGTCAAAATTCCGACGTTTTTCAGAATCTAGTCTTTTGACTTTCATTAATTATGCTTGTCTCTGAAAGGTACGCAACTCTGAATAAACAGGGTGAATTTACAGAGTGAGCGAATACTTCATTATTTGCAATGATCTTGTGCATTTGCTCTCAAACTTAATATTAATTGCTGTTTTTTCATGGATTACCTTTCATAGTAGATGGAGCACTTGACCTCTCTAAGAAAAACGCATCGTCGGAAAATGAAACTCCTCAACGAAAGGTCTCAGGGTGAGTACTTGTTCTTGTTTACCAAGTTGTGTGCTTGACTGTTGATCTTCATCCTACCGAAGCCAGAGAAAAGCTTGGTACCAAAATGGTAACATTTTGACCCAGTAATATTGATGAGCTTTTTATTTCAGAAAATATTCCTTTGTTTCGTTTGTATCCTATCTGATCATTTTGTGTGAACAAATTCTACTCCTCATACATTTGATGTGTTTGTTTAATTTAGTGGTTGTTTTGTTGCACTGCCAAAGGGTTGACTCTTTTCTAACTTGTTGGAAGGTAACGTCACATTTGCCAGCAGTCAGGGGCTTTACTTGTTCCTTTGTGCCGCCTGTATTTATTCATTTGTTTATTGATCTATTCGTTGATTCATGCAGTATCATTTTCACATGAGTCTTACAAAATGCATCCGCATTGCAAAGATACTGGAAGTATTCCCATAGACGCTTGTCTTTCTCCACACAATTGACGAGAGACTGTCCTTCCAAGAAGTATCGTTTGCAACCTAAGGCCAAATACAAAAAGCGTTTATCCCCAAACAACTCAAAGGCTTTGTGTTATACAGACAATTGAGAAGCGAGTGATGTTACCAAAAGACAAGGCAGTAAAGGAGTGGACCCTGAGTGCGTCCTGTCATTGGTCCGCTCACCCGTTCGTTTCTCATCCTCCCACCCACCTCCCCTTAGGAGACCAATCAGAGGGGACTATTTGGATCGCAGCTCTGAGTTTGCAGAAGGTTTGCTCTCTAAAGCCTTGAAAGATATTCGGTCTGGATCACTGGACATTCACAAAGCAGCCATACTATACGGGATACCTCAGAAAACCTTACAGCTCCAGACAGAGGCCTTATCACCAGAGCGGAGGGCAGGGGAACCACCCATTTTCGGCACAGAGGCGGTGTGCCCAAGCAACGACACTGGACTCGAGCAATCCGAAGTAAGAAACTGTACATTTGCGTCACCAGAGCACACCGAGCTGAAGTTTCCAGCAGCCGTGACTGCCTCGTCGTTCCTTCACCACTTAACCTTGCAGAGGATGGTCTCGCAGCTCCGGGAGCAGAACGACGGGCCTCTCGCCAGCACCTCGCCAGCTACATCTCTTCAGAGTCCTGGACCAGCTGTGCACATCCGAATCCCTCAGGTACGCTTCAGTGCTCAGCCCAAAGCCCAGCTGGATCTGGCTGGCCTGGTGGATGCTGTGTACCAAGCCAACAAAGCCTCCGACGGCTCCACTGCTTTCCACAAGCTGAAGACCATTCTCCCTAAACAGGGCTTGATGGAAAGCCACTCGGGCCTCGAGTCACGTCTGCTCCAGGGTGACCTGCCTCCACTGTGTCTGAACGTGAAGAACGGGAGCGTCACCGGAAGCATGCTTGACTGTGGAGACAAGCAGCCACGGAAAAAGCGGGGCCGTTATCGCCAATATGACCACGATATCCTGGAGGAGGCCATAGCCATGGTGATGAGTGGGAAGATGAGCGTGTCGAAAGCTCAGAGCATCTATGGGATTCCACACAGCACCCTTGAGTACAAAGTCAAAGAGCGAACAGGCACGCTCAAGACCCCACCAAAAAAGAAGCTCCGCCTTGCTGAAGCGGCAACCTCCGGCTCCGGAAAGTCAGGGACAACAACCAATGCCTCATCTACTGCCTACAAACAGTCTTAACTCAAAACCTCAACTATTTCTTAGAGAGAGATGGTTTTAATTAAAACATCACCTAAACTACAGCCAACAAGGTTTTTTTTTTTTTTTTGGTTTAGTTTTTAACACGCAGTCAGGGCCTCATTCAGACTAGGAAGGTACACTTGAATCCTCAGCCACAGGTTAAATGGTACATTTTATCAAGTTACAAAACATGCCTTTAAAAAAATCTATTCAGGGGTTTCACTGTGGATATCTATATGAATATATATATTTAAAATATTGTAAAGCACTGTTGATTTTTAAGTTAATTGCTCTTAAAACGAAGAGATATTATATTCAGGTTTTGTTCATACATAAGCTAACCTCAGCTTAATGATTGTTGTATGCAGCTTTCACACTAATTAGTCTTTGTAGCGACTGGTCATTTGATTTGAAGTCTATCAGCAGTATTTTTTTTATGTGACAGCATGACTGTAACGTCTTTCTTAACTCATCGGTGGGAGATGTCCATCCTTATATGCAATGGGGAGATATGGGTACGAGTTTCCACTCTGGCAAATTTTGGGCTATTAACGCTTATTGGCAGGTAATCGGTTTTATGAAGTATTAATGAAGTACATTAATCAGGACTGTTGCCAGATCATTGGAGTGAAAGCTTGGACCATCTCGGGCTTTTTATGGATGAGACTTCCCACATTCTGCACTGATAGTGATTTTATTTATTTTAAGTTCAAATACTTATATTGCTGTACAAACACACACAACATTGCTTTCTTTTTTTATGTCTTGCCCCTTTCCATTTTTTTGCCTGCAAATCTGCTCCGCAAATCATACGGGGTAAGTTGGAAATGCAACGTAATGCATGTCAAAATGATGCACAGGGGGGAAAAAAGCACTTGACGGCAGTCTCAGCGAATGTGTTTTACACGGAATAATAGATTACTTTTTCAGTAATCGCAACTACTGAAATCCTACTGAAATCTGCCTGCTGAAACCAAAACAGTTCAGGGTCATTTTGCCACTCCACTCACACACTCCATGAGCGAAGCAGTTTAGAGTTGGGTGCTGCTGAACTTGGATCAGAATTTCTCCTAGTCCGTATTTCATGATGCACTTATCATGGGACAGAAATGCAAAGCCTGATCCAAGTGCTACTCTGAATTGCTTTGTTTTTATGTCCAGGTTTCTACAGTTTTGCTGCTCTTGCTTTGTGGTGTTTTTTTCTTTCATGTTAATGATTATTATAGCTTTTAATGACCTATTATACAACTGATTCACTTTATATTACTGGTAATTCAACTCCTCAAATTCTTTCTCAATTTTTTAAAACTGAGTTTAAAAGCTTGTATAGTTGGAATATAAGATTCGGTTGCACTTTACAAAAGATGCACACATACTTGTGATACAGGTTATTGTTTCATACTTGCGATGAGAAATATTAGCATATACTGACTTTGAATGGCATCTTTTTAGCATAGTTCAGATATCTGATTCACAAGTATACTTGTGGTGCTTTGCAAAGTGTAGCTGAAGCATTATGTGAATTTTGTGATTGAAGCTTTGGAAATATGAACATTTCCATATGCATTGTTAATGTGTTTATCTTTGTGTTGTGAATGTTCTGTAAATGGTTTACCTCTTGTTGTTCCTCAAAGTTAAATTGCCCTCCCCCTAAAAAAAACGACAGATTTACTGATATATTCTTAATTTAATTTAGAAGCATTTTTCAAACCACCCTGAATGTTCTTCACAGCTCTTAAAATTAACAACACAGTGCCTGCTCTTACAGCTACTGCCCGGTTACTCTGCAGGCCAGTAGCAGTTTTACATAAATCTTTAAAAAAAAAAAAAAAAAGTATTTGTATACTATTAAAATCTGTATTGTGGATTTATATACTGTTACCATAATTACTGTTCAATTTTTCTGTTTTTTTCTCGGGGATAGTTATGTCACAGGCACAGTTTCACTTTTAATGTAAAGGGTGGTCATGCAGATTTTTTTAAAATCATATTCATGTGTCGTCAGTGCTGCGCTGTCATATTTTCGTTATATGGGATACTTTTAGGCTCCCTGTGGGGAATGTCAATCTCTATTATTTCACGTTGCTGTTCTAATATATTAATATTAGTGTCCTGTATAATTTCAGTCCAAAAAACATTAGTATTCTCAGGGTAACAACAGTCCTATAAAAACATGATCGAGAAGTTAGAACTGTTCTTTTATATCAAAATAAGGCCCCTTGGGATTCTGTTATAGAGCCAAATATGGTTCATCCAAAGCCAATTTGCTTCCTCCCATTTTATGGGGACAGTTTGTTCAGGAGTAGTTATAGATCAGAAAGGCATCAAATTATTTAAATTGGATTTAATGTTTTTCTCTTCTGAGAACAGTTGGGCTTGATTTATAGATGGATCATTATATGGATCAATATCACCAGTTTAGGCCTTTCTAAGTATGTGTAATTTCATATTCATAACAGGAGCAGGATACGAGTCATTTTGCAATCAGTTATTTATGCATATATTTGTTGCACTAAGATTGATTTTGAATTATTCCCTCTAATTGTATTTGTGTTGTGAGTTATTTCTTTCGATGTAATCAGAATATGAAGTTTAAATGTGTTAGTTTTGTGTTGAAAGCACTTTGTTGCTCTTGCACATTGTTATGTGAAATGCTTTACAGCACTTGCATGCGTAAGTGAGTTTCTTGTCCTGTAATGTTCCTCTACTACATGCCCCCTTTTTTTTTTTTTTTTATCCCAGACAGGTTAATATATTTGATCTTTATGATGTTTTTCATCAACTTGAAATGGGGGGAAACTGAAAGCTAATTGGTCCTTTAAGCATGTATTTGTGTCTGAAGTATATTTGATGTGGTCTCTTTTTTTTAACATTTCAGGGTTAGGGTAAAGCTAATCAAAGCAAGAATTTAATTAATTGTAATAAGATGGAATACTGAAGGCATATTACAGTGTGTTTTAACTATCCTGCATTTAAAAGTGTGTAATTTATATACTTTTTCAAACATTCTCTAACGTTTGCCTCCACCCCTTAACAAATCTGTGTTACCCTTTGGGGTAGTTGTATTTCACATTTCTAACATATATTGCCTGCAAATATTGTTGATTTGTAATCGGTTTTGTCTGGAAACACATTAATTCATCAGGAAACAAAATTATTCAGGTTTGATTAAAATAATTAAATATTCTGTATAGTTTTCCTGAGTGTAAGCGTTACTACAATCGCCATCCTTTGCCTTCAAGTTACCAATAAAAAATTGTTCCATGTACCGAATTGTTTGTACTTTTTTTGTAAATTTCTAATCCACGCTTAAATTTGGAAAAGCTGACAGGTGGAATAATGCTTTATCTGTGGCGTTTACACATTTAATTTGGCTTATACAGTCTATGGATATAACATCTTTGCAATGCAATGTAATTTGGTGCCTTTAACAAGATGAGCAGTGCTCATTTAAATACAGCTATGCAAACTTTATAATTCTGCAATATGTCTTTTATAGTAGGATTTTGTAAATCTTTTAATCTAATTCAAATGTATTACAGGTTATAACAGAGTAAAAAAAGAAATGAGTGGCGTAGCTCAGCTCACATTCATGAAAAGCTGATTATGCCAATGATTGAGTAATGACTTAACCCAGTTTATTTATGTAGTTCCTTAGGGCCATGTGTGGAAGACCAGTCCGGGCTGGAGAAGGAAGATGGTTCTAAAGCTCCAGTGGTCTGGAGAGTCACTGTGTTGGAGAAGGTCCTGTCTTCGCTTTGTTCCCATCATAGACTGCTGCTCTATCATATTTTAAAGGACATGCAGGAAGATTACAACATCTCTGTAACTCTGCGGGATGCTCACAGAAGACAATTTAAGGCCGGATCCCTCTGTTGCCATGCTGATAAAAAATCACTTAATGAGGCCCCAATACTTTCATTAAGTGACTGCTCGGTAACTGCTGGCATTTGTTGCAGAACAGCTTGTAGGCTTCCAACGTGTGCATTTTCTCCTATATGCATCTGTCTGAGGAACATTCATGGCCATTCCTGCCAAAATGCATCTTTGGCATGTGTTGGCCAAGACAACTGTTCCAACCCCACTGTTTGTTGTACTCACTCAAAACTACCCTCATGCCAGCATCAGCACAATGGTGATCATACCTGCATTTCTCATATAAGAGGAGCTCTAATCACCCATCAGGGTGATTGCAGATGTAAAGGAAGCCGTAGCCCCTCCCCACCACCACTATCGCCAAAGCCAGTGGACCTGGACTGTAAAATAGCTGTCAAGTCCAGTCTCTTCCACATTCAGGACTGCAAGTCCATGAATATGGCACCTCCTTCTCTCCTACCTCACAGAACTGAGGAAGAAGATACAGCTTTGTACTCTAACACTCTTCTACGTTTGGGATCTCCTGCTGAATGTTGCGAGAAAGTTGTAATGTTGCATGCACAAGCAGAGAAGGAGAATGACTACCAGTGTGGATCTTTTATAGGAGATCTAATGGATAGAGTCACTGAAAAGCTCAGGAGTATCCAACCTTCAGAGACGGAACAAAATCTCGCTAACCATGCCAGTCAAATCTCCAAGACACAAGATGACACACATTTGACAGAGATTATAACAACTGTGCTACACAATAGTAGCGACAAAGATTACAACCTTAATGAGCTTTTACAACAGCATGTAGCCACAGAACAGCGATCCCCTCAGACACGTTCCCGTAAGAGACTGGAAACGTTAGTTGCCATGGGCAAGTCGCCTGACCTTCCATCATCAAGAAGACAAAGCTTACAAATCAAAAGAGATCTGGTCAGACTTAGTCCATCATATTTCAAGAGGAATATGGGGTTTGAGAGAGATAGGTCCTTAAAAGCTGTTAAAGCCGCGCAGCTAACATACTCTCTTGTTGAACAATCTGAATGCAGAAAGTTGGACAGAAAATCCAAGACCGTGTACGCAGAGCCTGTAAAAGATACCTTAGAAAATCTGACAACGCATGCACAAACTGAGACACTGAATAATCAAGAGAGCCAAGAAACTCAACCCCAACATGTGTGTCTTGAAGAACCACTACCTCCAGATGAAAGGCCACAATTACAAACAACTGATAATGACCGGAAGGTAAAAGCGAAAACCCATAAAGAGAAAAATCTGACTGTTCAAGTTGGAAGGGCCAGACGAAATATTGTACCACCTCAGCGTTTCTCTTCCTATGTTACTGAGCCACGAAAGATGTATTTTGCAGCCTGTTTTTCAGGAAGTATATTCACCAAGCATTCCCCTAAGGACAGCACCTCAACAGCACTTGGCTCTACAGAAGAAATCCCCTGGCCAAGTGATGTATGTGACAAACAGCCTTTTCAAAAGGATGAACGAGAAGACTGTGATGTGCCACAGAACACAACTTCATCAAAAGATGAGATTCCATCCAAAAAAGAGCCACCATGTGAGCTCAAGAGTAATGGTAGGAATCCTGATAAAGAGAGTGCAAGAAAAAGGAATCCATGCCAGAATTCCACCTCGCCATTAAAAAGATCCAAACGCCATAGAACCAACAGTCTAAACACTGACCCACACAATCCTACTGAAACTATGTCTAACTTTACTACCACTGAGAGTGCACAACAGGCTAAACCAAGCCTGTCTGGACTGAAATATGAAAGTCCAATAAAGCTCATGTTTGTTTCCTCTGTGACCGGTGAAGATGGTGTAAAATATACTCTCAAAGCAGCTGCCTCTAGCTCAAATTCCCATGGAGAGATGTTTGATCCATGTATGGAGTCCTCATGGGCAGGCAGTGCCATAGATGAGCATTTCCACGATTCTGTCCTTGAATCTTCTCCAGGGAGAACTGTTGAGCGTGGTGGGAACAAGTGCACTTCACCGAAAGTGCTTTCACTTGATGCATTACTGCCCGGTCGTTCAAGCAATGAAGGTGAAATCCGAGAAACACTACCAGGTGTACATCAAACAACTCCAGTAAAAAGGCGTCCTGGGCGCCCCAAAAAAATAGGACCGCATATTGAGAAGTCTGTGAAACGTCCGATTGGCAGACCTCCAAAACCCAAAACAACTGATGTAAGTTCTTCAACTGGTACAACCGGTTCCGGTTCCAGTGCAGTAAGTCAAAGAACAACTGAAGAAATGTCTTGTAAGGATGATGGAAACAAAAATCTAAAAATCACTATAATGTATGGAAGATCAAGAAGGGCAAAAAGAGTCGTTTCTGAAGATCTGAGTAATTTCCCAGCACAGCAGCATGTTTATGAAGTATTAAATGGTGGCACGTACAGTAAAACATGTTCTGGAAAGGCGAGTAGTAATGATCAAATGACCAAAGATCTCCATTTTGTTATGCCTATTGAAGACAGGAAATGCATCTATTCTAGCAGCAACATCAAATGTCAAAGACAGAGTGACCCAGCAGTGTCAAGAAAACCAGGAAGACCTCCCAAAGTCAAAATTTCTGGGATCTCGGTCACTGTCACCACAGGGTCACCAAGGCAAAGGAAGATACATATAAAAAGAGACACAAAAGATTTACATCTGCTCAGAAAGACCCTTCGAGTTGAATTTCAACCTTCCAAAGAGCAGAAGACAATCGGCATTCCTACTGACATTCACAAGGATACAGTGGCTGCACCGAAAGAACATAACCAGAATACCAGAGGGAAGCTCATACCGGTGAGGCATTCGGTTAGAGAGCGGAAACCCTCCATTCATTTGCTCCACTCTGTCGCTACTGCCAGATCCTGCGCATTGGTTCGCCGTTCACGAAAACTACTGCTGAATAAGGTTAGCTGTGAGGCCAGCCAGAATACAAAGAACACACGAGAGGAGTTCCCAAAAAAGGCACTTTCCATAAAGACCAAGAATGTCAGTCAGATACAAGACACTGTTCGTTTTTCTGCTGTTTCGGTGGACTCGATTTTTTCATCGAATGAGGACTTCAGGTGGTGGCCCACCTCCGCATCACCTGAAACTTTAAATGGAGAGTTGGCTAGGAGGATCAGGCTAATGTCCAACACTTGGGTATCAGATGTCCTGGAGGCTAACAAGTCAGGGCATTCCTACTGACATTCACAAGGATACAGTGGCTGCACCGAAAGAACATAACCAGAATACCAGAGGGAAGCTCATACCGGTGAGGCATTCGGTTAGAGAACGGAAACCCTCCGTTCATTTGCTCCACTCTGTCGCTACTGCCAGATCCTGCGCATTGGTTCGCAGGTCACGAAAACTACTGCTGAATAAGGTTAGCTGTGAGGCCAGCCAGAATACAAAGAACACACGAGAGGAGCTCCCAAAAAAGGCACTTTCCATAAAGACCAAGAATGTCAGTCAGATACAAGACACTGTTCGTTTTTCTGCTGTTTCGGTGGACTCGATTTTTTCATCGAATGAGGACTTCAGGTGGTGGCCCACCTCCGCATCACCTGAAACTTTAAATGGAGAGTTGGCTAGGAGGATCAGGCTAATGTCCAACACTTGGGTATCAGATGTCCTGGAGGCTAACAAGTCAGGAGAGATTAAAACCGATCTTAAACCAGAACCTTGTGAGAAGCTCGATGGTTCTGCTAAGAAGTCTGCTTCTGCCATCAAAATGCTTTTTGAGAAAAACTATAATATGGAGAAGCTCTGTACTTGGTTTATGCAGTCCACGGAAACTCAGTCCCTTGCGATTGTAAAGAAGGCCACTGAAAGAAATCCCAAGGACGTCTTTCACTACAACCTCAGCAGGCCCAATTGCAAAGTGAATGTTTGCCCAAGTCCACAAGCAGAGAGACTCAGGAAACATGTCAAGAAATTTGCTAAAGTCGTCCCAAAGAGTCCGTCAATGCACAAGCAAGCACAAGAAATGCTGTCCAAGTCAACAAGGTCACAAGCCAAGAGAAAACTTTTTAATACGTCATCATTTAAACCAAGGCATGATGTTAGGCAGCAAATGTCTAGAAGGACATGGGTTGTCTACAGAACAGCTCTGCTTAGAGCGAGGCTAAAGTTTAAAACCAGGCCTAAGATAACATTAGGAGGCGATGTGGCACACAAATGTTTTCGTGACCAGATGAGGACAATGACTTCAGGTGCTAAGACTCTAGAATTATTGAAAGAAATGCCTAACTTGGTAGACGAGACATCCAGACCAGTCATGAAAGTTCAAAATGCATTAAAGCTTCTAGTCAAAACTCCTCAGAAAATGATTGGGATTGCCAATATTTCAAAGCAGAACAGAATCAGCTCCAAAGCTTGGAGTCCAGAGTCCCTAAAGGAGTGCAGGGTGTTTCTGAAAAAGATCAACTCCCCAAACACAAAGTCACTGACAGAGGAATGTAACATTTGCACAGTAAAGCTCTATGATGTCTCGGAGCAAGAGGAGAAGGAGGATGTTACGTTGGGAGTGACACCTCCCAGTACAGGTAACTCTCCAGTACAGCTGCCCTCATCCCCAAAAAGCCAGAGCAAGAAAGGTAGAAAAAGAGGCAAACGGAAAAGTGGCAGCACAAGTCCATCTCCACCAACAAAAATGATCAGACAATCAAGGAGCAGCAGGGGTGTCCTGGGAGCGAGGTGGTGTGACTTTGTGCTCGGTAAGTCATCTTTTAGCATAATTTTTTATGCCGCCTGAAACATACTTTATGCAAGTACACAAACATGATCTAGCTATAAACGCTGTTTCGAGGATCATGGCAGAAAAAAGTTTAAAGCAAATCTTTCCAAGATATACTTAACTGCATAATAACCAATCCAGTTTAATGTCGAGATATTTGAATGTAACTCATTCTGACACAGTAGTACTGAGGTTTGTTACTGCCAGACCGATGCAACAGTGCATGTCAAGTATGTTTAACCTGATTGTTGTGTTGAGCATGCACTCCTGTCTGCATACTGGCGTAAAGTATGTTTCTGGCTTCCGTAAAGAATTTTTATTTTTTTTTATATTAGATCGAACAGTTAGGTTTTTTTCCTTTGTAGTGTTTACTTTGTATTGATTCTAGAAGTGTAGGTGGTTTCACGTACGTGTGTGTGTGTGTGTGTGTGTGTGTGTGTGTGTGTGTGTGTATATATGAGCAATATCACTCGAGTACAAGAGCGATACCGGCTCTATTCAGCGTGGCTGTGATTAGGCCAGAGGCCGCAGGCCGAGTGCCGGAGGCAATCACAGCCGCTGATATAGAGCCGGTATTGCTCGAGTACGAGAGTGATATTGCGTTTATACAACAGTTCGACAGAACATGTGTAATTAAACAAGAAACAACGGAGTGCCTAATAAAACCCTTTTGTGCGGAACTACTTCCTTCCGCCACGGATTCAAAGCTCAAGTTGACAATTAAACATACGTCACTTTTAGAATTTGTATCAAGGGCATGTGCTGCTTCAGTTAGGTTATTAGTGAGAAATAATGAGGTTATTAGTGAGAAATAATGCGGCAAGATGTGCATCCAAATGAGAGAGAGACCGCGAAGCTAGACGTTTCTTCTTATATTAACTAACGTACTCTACGATTAGCTCAGTGAATAATTAAAAAAAAACATAGACCCGGCTAGAACAAGCGGAGTGATACAAAATTGTGATACAAAACAAGCGGAGTGATACAGTTCCTGTAGCGATACCAGTACAATATCTCACGGTTCTCAACCAATCAGATTTGAGAACCAGAACGAACTGTTGTATAAATATATATATTTTTTTTAATTATCGGATAAAGGTTTTAAAACGGAGCATGCCATGTTTATAGACAGTACTCTCTTTGAGAACTCAAATCTATGTCTCCAATTTTTGCTTTACAGGGTCATTGAAATAACATGGAACCAGTTTTGGGCAAGGCATTTTCTTGAACTCTAACATAAGGTGCCTTTCATAAGGGGTCTGGCTAAGTATCACAAGCATTTTGACACGCAACCTCTGCAAGCGTCATGTAGCAAAAACAAAAAAATACAAACAACTTTAAGACACTTTTTGCACTATTTAAACTTAATTTGTGTTTTTATGTTTGTAAAATGTTTTATGTAGCTTTTAAAATCTCCCTTGAATTTTATTTTTGGTGCAGAGCAAGAGAAGATCTAGTTACATGAAGGAGTACCAAAGGTTACAAGAGCAGTATATTGTTTGATTTGCCTAACCTGTGACTTTGGAGTCTCATAAGAGTTCAACTTCAAGGCAAACGTTTATATAATTCTGGAAAAGACAAGTTAATTTCACATTTCTTTACATTTTATAACCTTTGGCGTTGTAAGAGCTCTTTAAAATAGGATTAATATTTTATTTTTGGTGAACGGGAATTTGTTTAAAATCAAGTCTTATGTACTGTTAATGTTCCGTACAGAAACTGCCCACTTAAGTACTAGCAATGCATTCTGAAATTAGAAAATGGTAGTGTCTCCACTTTTTTTTTTTTTGGTATCAATTTATCTAGTGTCCTCTAGTCCTGTATTTATGGAAACCTTTCTTACAACTCCTGTGAATTTACTCTCTGCCAAGTTGTTGAAAATAATTTAAGCATTAATTTACATCCAGCTTTATGTTCTCTTTGCACTACCAAACCCAAACTAGCTACCCGTTTCATTTTCTCATTTCTGACTTAAACCATTGTTGTAATGTACAGCGTATTTTTGGTGCAATGTTTTACATTTAAAGATGTAAGATTCTATTTTTCTTTTCTGAAATTAAATGCTTTTAAGATGATCTAGAGGCAAATATGTTTCACATATCGTTTCTTCTATACAAGAACTTTTGTTGTGCAAACTTTAATTTCTGATCTATTGCAGTATGTGACACCTACCTCCTGAAATCTGGCAAGGCATGGTAGTTTGGTCTGAACTGATAAACCCATTGTTGTAACCATGTCATTTATTTAGGCCTCTACCAAAAACATTCTAACTGGTTATACAGCCTGTATGTTTAGTATCTATTTAAATACTGTGTTGTTAGCTCTAGTTCCCATCTGATGTTTGTTACCAATCTGTGGCTCTGCCCCCGAGTATGTAGAAAGTTAAAGTTGCCCTGCTATGGCCTTAGGCTGATGATACACGGGGCAACGTTTTTTGAGCAGTGCTGCTTGGGCACTTTCCCATTGAAAATGGGTAACACATTTATATCTGGATACTTTAGATCGGTCATGGGCCTTGTTTCTCATCTGGTTGCCCGTTGACGGCAACGTTGCTCAAAAAGTTGCCCCATGCATCATCAGCATTAGGTTTTGTTGAGGTCATCTTAGTTCATTTAGGCTCTCTGTAACAAGACTGGCTTGCATCTGTGAAATACAAGTTTAGCCAGTGCAACAGAAACTACCTTAGAGGCATGTTTTTTTTTTAGTAATTGTATGTTACTTTCCCACCTAGTTTATTCTATTCGATTTAAACCATTGTGTCTGGGTACTTTGTCAGCTAGAGAAATATTTCTGAAACTGCTGAAAAACTCACTTTAGTTACATGCCCAGTGCCAACATAAAGTGGCAAAAGTACAGACAAAAATGGTGCATTATATCTTTATACCTATGCCAACCAAATGCTGGAGATGAAGCTTGTTGTGAGAATCATTCAGGAGGCCTTCTGTATATTGTCTTATGTTCAAATATGCCATTTTGAAGTTTTGGCCACTGTAACCTTGTTACCCGGTGCTATATGTTGTACATAAACATACAAATTATGTACACCCTTTGTATTTTCTCTGTTTTTATACTTGCCTTCAAAGAAGCGGTTTCAATCGTTAGAACAATAAAAGCTCTTGCAAACACTTTTAGAGTAACTGTGTTACAGGTTTAAACATTTTTATTTAGACTGAAAAATGCATACAAAATGTTTTAACTTTCAAATATTAGCTATTATTGACATAAGCCAACTGTTTATACTAGAATCTTAAAATGGCAAAAATAAGGGAACAGTTTGCCCCACTAGCTCACACGCATTTAAAACAACAGCTTCGAGTAAATAAATTAATGTTGAAATGACTCCTACCCAAAGACAACCTTTGGAGAATTACTGCAGATGATGCATTTTAACAAAAACTTTCATTTTGACAATCAAGCCCTTAACCCAGGTTGACACTGTAAATAGTTGGACTAAATAATTAGACTAGACTGTATTAAAATTTATCAGAATGTAATCTCTCAGATACATCCGAGGGAACTGTAGGATGTAATAGGCGAAAGCGGACCTTCTTAAAGAGTAATCCACTAAGAACCATTGGTCTCCTGGTTCAGAAGGGCAGTCAGATCCTGCTTTGTTTTATCTTTAGCAGCCATCTTGGCACGGCGACTTGGTCTTACTGATGGAGGCTCTTCAGGAACATTCTCTTCATCGCTATAGAATGATTAGAATGCAAGCAAAAGATAAGCGACCTACAAAAGGAAACATTTACATTTGAAGTTAAAAACAAAACCATTCGTTAAGATGTGGAACAAGCCAACCTTTCATCAGAGGACAACTCCGCTTTACTGGCTTTCTTGCCATTCTTTGCAGTGGAAGCTTTTTTCTGGCCTGAAACACAACAGTGTGAAAGTTAATACAACAATCATATAAACAAAGAAAAAGATTCACTCGTTGAATTTGATCCAATTAAATATAACTACCTCTTTTTGCACGTTTAGCTTTAGTCTCATCTTTGTTCACCTCTGCAGGGATGCACAGATAGGTTTGTTAATGTAACAGATACTTTGAATACTACAGGTAAAAGAAAACCACTTCCTTTCCCATAACTCAACCTGAGAGAAAATCAACTATCAATGACAGAAACAAACTGGATTAAGATTTCAAAGAGTGTTTTTACCTTTATGAGTAGATTTTGTTCTTACTACATAAATACACAGTGTACTACTTATGTCGAATACTTTAATTCAATCGATTGAGGATAATGAATCTGAACAATTATAAATGATATTACAAATTAATAATGATATTAAATTATAATTATGAAAAATTACATATTTTATCAATTAACATTTTAATTGAATCAACTGAGAATTATGAATCTGAACGGTTATCAAAATTATACCCCCTTCGCTTTAAAACTACTTCATAGTAAGGCTCCACCAACACTCGCCTCTGAATATACATACTACACTATATAGATCTAAAAACAATGTTAGGTGAATAAATAAAACAATACTAATATACATATATTATTCACCAAGGGAACAGGTTTTTGCTCTCAGCCCTGATACATTTCTGGGCCTGGTAATAAAGGCTGGTAAAATGCGTGTTAGTTTGCTAGCTAGTACCTCCATTGTTGTCATCCAAGTTCTGCAAAGTTGTGTCCTGGTTACCGGCTGATTTGGCACAACGATCTCCATTTAGCTGGTTACAAAGCTTCTCAATAATCCTTATACAGTGCTTATCTTTCACTTCCTGTAACACACACACACACAAGATCAATGTCACTATGATCATAACTGCTTACCATAATGCTATTCTATCTAATCTGATGGGATATTTCATTAATTTCTTATCCATTTCTGCTTAATCTGCTGTTCTTTTATCCAGTGTGCCTCTCCAACCATAAGTTCACAAAAGAGTACCTGTAAAATGTCTTTTAACAGGAGTTGCAATTCACTGTTAGCCGGTCCAGGTTCAGAGTTAATCTCTAGCCAGCTGAGAGTTTTACAGTAGACACGCACCTCGGGAGCAGAAATGTCTCGCAAGATTTCATTACAGACACACACTGCCAGGGAGTCATGCACAGACACGGCCTGCAAAAAAAAGTTGGCCATTTACAAAATATGAACACTTTAAAGTGCTTTGAACAAAACCCATTCCTGTTATTTTTTAAGCGTGCGTGTGTATTCAAGTGTACCTGTACGGCAGCAGGCTTCACAAGAGCGCTGGGTCGAGTTAGATCAACAAACAGTTCAGCCACGTTGGATGCGTCTACCTCAGACAATGGAGATGTCACAGGAGCGTTGAACAGAGTTCTCATGGTTGGAAGAAAACTCTCCTCCACACACTCTTGATTTGTTCTGGTGTACAACAATTACAGGGACAACTCTAAACATCTGTGCAGTTACAATAGTCATTCATGTTAAATGGCAGCATGAACAAACACAACTAATTCATTAAAGGGATAGTAAGGATGTAACGATTCACTCAACTCACAATGTGATACGATTTATGATACTGATTTCATGATCGGATTCTTTTTTTTTTTTTAAACAAAATAAGGTTCAAGACCAATGAAAAGGTGCTCTTTTATTATTTCTCAGACAAAATGGTGTACATTTCTTTGTGGGAAAAAAAAAACTAAATTAAAATTTAAAAACAAATCCCAAATACATAAATAATACAAATAAAAGAGATATCTTCATATAAACAAACTAAGGCTTCGCCTGTGCTCTTTCCATTTAAAATTAGAGGCAACCGCTGCATTTTAATCACGAGCCAAAGATGCAAAGATGCAAAAAATTGTAATTTTTAAGAAATTCAAACAACAAATAGCGTTCCGTCACTCTTTAATGTGTTGTGACTGATCACCGTGTAAGGCCTCAGTTCAAGCAGCATTAAAAAAAAATACAATCTAAAATTCAGACAATCAGTTCCCCTCAGAGATACACTCATAAATTTCCACCCCATAATGCATCGCGATTCGTTTAACATCTCAACCAACTTGAATCATCACATATTTGTATAGATTTTCAACTGGCTCTGCATGCATCGTTACATTCCTAAGGGATAGTTCACCCAAAAATGATTCGATGTATGTACAGTATGTGTTGATCAACGTCTATGTGAGAATAGCCTAAATTAAACTTGTATTACATGTAAATTGATTGTCTCTTCAGAAGGCTTCGATTAAACTGCTTGATTCACATAGATTAATTTAATGACCTTTTGAAGAATCAAGGTGTTGGTGGAATGGACTTTCAATGGAGACAAATCTCTCTAATAATACATTTGTGTTTCAAAGTCAAATAAAAGTCTTATGAGTTTGGAACAACATGAGCGTGAGTAAATATCAATTTTCATTTTTGGGTGCACTATCCCTTTCATCAC